AATTGTTAACTTTGTAATTATTCATACATGATTATTCATTATTATTCTCGTGTCTCCAGACATTGCCTATAAAAGATGTATCTTGAATAGCTCTTGCTATTCGTAAGCATCGATTTAAGGAGGTCTACATATGCATTTGCTTGTGTCTCTGTAAGGCTTTTACTCTAAAACTGTATTGGCTTGTATTTTAACCGCGCAGTGAAAGACTAATGAAGCATCATAGTGACCGGCTGTCATGGCGTGAACAAATTCGCCGGCAAATTATTTTCTTGCACAGGCCACCTGTGTGAGTAACCTAGTAAAACGATAATTTCGACCGCGAAATGGATAAAAACCTAGGCTCAATACTGGAACAAGTTTGACCAGTTGGTGCAAGATTGGAGACCATACCAACCCTGTGATGTGACGAAATCGCGATTTCTTGTTGGTGGCGTGCGAAGATAGTCCAGTACAGAACTTATTAATCAGCGGTAAGGATTTCGAACGCTTCTGGAACTGGTTCAGTAAGAGTGAGTTTCCAGGGGTTCTCTCGCACTTGAAGTTAACTTTCGCCCAACACTATCGCGTCCCCCGAAAAAATCGCATCGTCACGACTAGCTGCCCCTGGGTCTCCGAGGATGATTATTTTGTAGATCGACTCCTGTAAGCAGTCTCTGGATGGTGGGCAAGGGGCTGTCACCTGCAAAGTGGGAGGTTTTCCAAATTATCTCTTAGCTTTTATTTTTTCATCGAAATGATGTTATCGCTTTGCGTCACTTTCGATAATGCTTGCGTCAAATAGTAAATGGCGTATTGACAAGCCATATTTGTACGCTTAACAGAATTAGTAATTGCCGCTAATAGATATTATGAAGAGCCAGTGATCTCAAGAGGAAAAGTTTTAAAATATTTTGGACCACGATAAAAAAATTATACAGAATTGCCGGATATTAGTTCTACATAATGGAAGACGAAAGGAGTGTGCTTGCTTTGTGTTAATTGTGACCATGGATTTGGTTGTTTTCTTTGAATATATTTGAAACTTTTGAGGGAGANCAATGAAAGACTAATGAAGCATCATAGTGACCGGCTGTCATGGCGTGAACAAATTCGCCGGCAAATTATTTTCTTGCACAGGCCACCTGTGTGAGTAACGTGGTAAAACGATAATTTCGACCGCGAAATGGATGAAAACCTAGGCTCAATACTGGAACAAGTTTGACTAGTGTTTGTAAGCTTTTGTAGACGAGCAGGCAGCACCACTGAAAATAAGCAGATGGCTGCAAAAAAACTGCATCGTTTGTTCAGCCGACAGGTCTATGTGCTGAGGGAAGCTCGCTGTATGTAAAATGTGGTGTGAAAGTTAAGTCTTCACGTGTCAAGTGGCTTAACATGCAAGGACGAGGAGTTCGACGCATGTTAACCCCTACTGAGCATTTTGTAAAGTTCCCTGGCAGACAGAGGCACTGTTAAAGGGGCGATCTGCACCGTTTATAAAGTTCTTTATAATTGGCCAAACGAAACAATAAAAAAATTAAAACAGGTTAACAACACAAACAATACCCATAGCCCAAAGACCAAAAGAGTTGCAGATTAACAAGAACGAATCAAAACAGAGGTTCAATCTAAAGAGGTGCAGGTCAACTGCTGTGACAGTTAAGTGTTTAGCTTGCCCTCGAAGGCGACACGGCGCACGACTCACGAATGTGAAGTAACTTACCACAAAGGACAAGGAGAACAAATCGTTGATTTACCAAACACATGGTAAGAACACTACATAATGTAAGTAAAGCAAATTAAAGTAAGCATGCAGTTAATCGTTTTCTTTAAGACGTCTTATTTAGAGGCTATATCTACATTTGTATTTTCTACGACCTCCAGAAGTTCTCCAGTTGACGCAGTGCTCCTTTATTGCAAAGACCATAACAGTAAAATATTGTGTTTGTTCTGCGAAACGGTATTCTACAATAGCTTAGAATACACCGTCTTAGACATGGCGGTATATTCCAGACTACCATCGCACGTCCTTAGGCTAACCACTTATAAATTCTAAATCGAGTTACTTGAATTCTTTGACTTAACCGGCTAAAAATACAGTCCATCGACCATGTTTTCGTGCGATTTCAGCATCAAAGCGTGCGCATGGTTATTGTCAGCGGAAACCTGATCAAATGAGCATGCGCGCGGGCTGAGTGAATATAATGGAGACATTCTCGTTCCCAAAGCCTCCGTTAACGATTTTTTAAGACCAGTAGCACTGGAGACGAGAATGAATAAGAGCAGCAAAAGTAAAGAAAAGTAAAAGTTCCGTATTTGCAGCCGTTCTCGGTTTGCTTAAACGCCATGCTTAATCTCAGCAACACTGACTCTGCTCGCTCAATGCGATACCTCCCCGGAGAACCTCTACTAAAAATGCAAATCCGAGACTCTGAGACCTTGCGAAAAATATTCGAGACTCCGAGACCGAAAGAAACACATGAAAAACGAGACTTCGTGACTCGTCAGAAAAGCTTCCGAGATTTCGAGATCGGATCAAAAATTTCCGAGATCCACGATTTTCTGGGTACCATTCACCACCCCTCATACAAATCTCTATAAATTTGGGTAAAAAATTTCTCCGCATATCCGCATAAGAAAAATTGCTGTGACCAGAATTTTGGCGAGAGTCTTTGCATATTTACCTTCTTTCATTTCCCAGATTCTGGACTTTAGCTATTGACCGGTTTTGATTTTTATTTTGATCTATTTTGAATTGCGTGACACTGAAAACCAGCAATACACGACCACATGAGCTCTGCTGTAATTTTCATCGTGTTTAAATAAACGTTGCTATTAACCCTGTCTGATAGATCACTCTAGTTTACTGTTTCATTATAATTTTGAGGCAACAAACTACGGCGAGGAGAACTTTGATACACAGTTAGTTAAACAAAGATTTGCGCTCAGAAATTATCAGGAATAAAAAAAAATAACTGGCCTTGTACACCCTGCCCTCCTGTTTATGCGAAGCTTTAATAGCGAAAAGTTTGTTGAGCGCTTATGCGTGATTCAGAGCATTCCCTAATACAACGTACGAAAATCAATTTTGTATGGGATTTGTACGTATGACACAGATGATCAGTTTCATAAACAAGAAATAGACATGCCATTTGTTCCGAATGGTAATAGAAACTGATAAAAGTGAAGAATGATCATCGCAGTAAATTTTCCAATCTAAGCAATTGGAAAGAAGAAGCCTGAAAAAATCAGGGCTTCAACGGGATTCGAACCCATGACCTCCGCGAATACTGGTGCGATGCTCTAACAACTGAGCCGATGAAGCCACATATTGGGAGCGAGGTCAATTAATTGAGTTCATATCTTCCCGTGAGGAGTGAAATGATGTGAAATATATAGGAAATAATTCATATTTGACCTGCGGTTGTAGATGAAAGTGAAGAATGATCATCGCAGTAAATTTTCCAATCTAAGCAACTGGAAAGAAGAACCCTGAAAAAATCAGGGCTTCAACGGGATTCGAACCTGTGACCTCCGCGAATACCTCCGCCAGCGAATACCTCCGCGAATACCTCCGCGAATACCGGTGCGATGCTCTACCAACTGTTCGTTGAAGCCCTGATTTTTTCAGGCTTCCTCTTTCCAATTGCTTAGATTGGAAAATTTACTGCGATGATCATTCTTCACTTTCATCTGCAACCGCAGTTCAAATATGAATTATTTCATATATATTTCACATCAGAAACTGATAAATGACTTAGAAGACGGTGACACTTATGAAAAGTATTAATTTAAGTCCGATCGTAATCCTTCTTAACCAGCTTCCTCAATAGTAATCATTACTGTTTATTCTCGGTTTGTTTTTACTTTCTTTAGTGTTTCTGTTACTTAAAAAAATATCGTTTCGTCCGTGGGAAGCGCGGTGGCCGAATGGTTGCTCTCACATTGCCTCTCTCCACCGGACACAAGTGTGTAAATGGATACTGGGGAGTTAAATGGCGGAGGGTAACTTAGCATCCCGTCCAAAGAAAATAGGAAATACTCCTAGTCGCTTCATCCTACAACAACCGGGATAAGCCCCGTTGTGTGGACCACTTGGCCCGACAGAGTCGACACAGGCTTTAGTCAATCAGGAAAATGGCTTTAATCTCAGTTGACATAGCTTCGTTTAGATGGAACTTATCAATTAAGTCGTTAAAAAAGCAGGCAGAGATCGCGATAACGTTCAGTTGAAATCCTCTTGAATAGAGATGCTACCTGTGAAGCTAGAATTTGGGAGCCCCATGTGGAAAATATTTTTAGTGTCCTTGCCTTGAGAACGAGTGCCTCCCGGAGCTAAAGATACAGGTTTTCTTGATTCCTAAAAAAGTCCTATTTTCCCTCCCACCATTAAACAAACCCCATGCCTACCTTTAACCAATTTCCCTTTATAACAGAGATGCTCTTTCCCCTCAAATTAATCCCTGAACTATCTCTTGTTCACTTGAAATAAATGATCGCTGGCGCTCGTTCCTCAAAGCCCCTGAAAGGAGGTTTTCAGTAAACAATTTGAGCGAGGAAGAGAAAAAAAAACAACGGAATTCAATTTAATTCCGTTCAAAACGTATAACGGGGGAAAATACATGAGGTGCTCCATGTTTCTTTCAATACCATGTTTTTATTATTTGCTTATTTATTTCAGCAAGCGTATATCGTGACATAAATTTTCATTGTAAATCATCGATTAGACCGCATAATGTACCTGAATTATCCCTGGCCTATTCCTGAACTTAATGCAGTGTAATTAACCATGATTTAATCATTTCTATTACTTTTTTTCTTTTGTTTGATTGCATGTTACACAATCCTTCGGTGCTTTTCTGATAAGCTGTTCTCTTTTCGCTAAGCATCTTGTATAACGGTGACTTCAATGAACTTGATCCCAACCCCCTCTTTTTTTCCCTCTTTATAAACCTCGAGAGTGAGTCCCTTGTTGAGCATCAATCGGTTGTTGTAACCAGTGGTCTTCACGAAACCTCCGTCATGCGCAGTGTAACACGAGCCCCAGCGTTCATCCAGCTTGAGGGTGAAGACAAACCGGCCGGGGTAGAAAGAGTCGCTGGGTCTGGGTGTCAAGCTGGTATATTTACCGACAGTCAATTGCGTACCGGACAAACCCTCTTTTCCATTACATGGCGCAAAGCCTGAATACCCCATTTTATCTTCCATATGAAACCCGACAAATCTTATCCCGTCAGACACACCATATGCGATATCGCTGTCCTCTTTTGTTCCGATACTCACATCATGTGAGACTACAATTTTCACGGTCAGCGGAGCGGAATATTGCAAGGCACCAGCAGGAATCATGGGAACTTTTACAAGAGCGGCGTTATCAACTGAGTTTGCGTTGAATGTGAGCTGTTCTTTGGTAAATGAATGAGAACTGTCAATGTAGGACGCATGCGCCTCCAACCAAGATGGAGTAATAGTCTAGTGGTAAATCAATTTCTCCTGCAGTGAAAGATCGTTATAGCAAATGAGAAAAAGAGGAAAGGTCGAACGTAGAATAATGTTTTATTTAACAAATAAAAGAACCTAAGCCGTGTATTACACTGTGATAAAACACGACGGGCATTTGAGAACACGAGGGAAATGTATAGACAACACGAGCCGCAGGCGAGTGTTTTCTACAGTTCTCGAGTGTTCTCAAATGTCCGGAGTGTTTTATCACTGTGTTATACACGGCTTAGGCTTCGTCATTTGCTTTATGATATAGGTGTAATGTACGGGTCCGCAAATGATCCCGGACCGTAAGTAATCCCCAAATTGAACCGCAAATGATCCCGGACCGGAAATGATCCCCATATTGGACCGCAAATGATCCCGATCAAAAAATAAGGAATGGCATGGATTTATATCGGAGGAAGGTGAGAACATGTACAAAAATAATGAACTAAAAAACATATTTTATCATTTTGCAAAAAAAATATTCCACAGTTGCTGTTTTGTTCTCCGAAGGGTACAGATCGTTTTCACTGTCACGCAATAAAAAAAAAAAAAAATCCAAAACCAACCAATGGAAAAAGGTAAGAAATTGTGATGTACGCTGT